AAGCTCTGGTGTCTCTTCCTCCTCTTACATGGACGCCTGTCCCATCGGATCAGAGCTCCCCCCTGTGACCTTGTTTCACCGTAATTACCCCCGAAAGCCCCATCTCCAAATACAGTCACACCGGGGTTCCGGCCTCAGCACATGACTTTGGGGACCGCTCGGTCCTGGTGGCTCCAGCACAGGTGGAGTGGGGGCGACAGAGCCCACGTGGCTGCCAACGCCTTGCTCTAGACCAGCTCCCAGTCCCTTCCCCTTTTGTGAGCAATGCCAATAGTGGGGTCTTTCCTTTTATGAAGTTTTCACCAGGCTTTCACGCCCCTCCTCACAGCGCCTCCCCAGGACGCGGCGAGGACTTCAGAGCAGATGCTGCCGGCTCCCCTCCCTGGAGGTGCCCTGGAGGGAGCACCACGTGTCCCCTGCAGCCCTGGGTCCTTGCTCACTTGTGCCCTGGGCCTGGTGCGTGTGTACAGTGACCGTGAGAGCTCCGTTTGTTCACACAGACGTGTGCCAGGTGCCTGCCCCATGTCAGGTCTTGTTCACTCGTCCACAGATCCACATCCACGATGAGAAAACTGAGGCAGAGGGAGGCGAGGAGGTGCGCCAGTGTCCACGCTGTGTCAGGTGGACCGGGGTCTTAGCCCAGAGCCTGCGCTGTTCCAGGGTGCTGTCCAGACAACGCTCGGTGTTTGTTGTGAGTGTGAGCCGACACGGGTAGAAACCTGTAACACAAATGTAACAGCTCCTCCTGTCAGAGCCGTGAGGGTGGAGACCCCGAGACGTGGATCCACGGATCCATCTCCGCTCTGCTGATGTCGTGAGCACTGGCTGCCGTCAGTGCGGTGTCCTCATGGCCCTGTGCGCGGTGCTCTGCTCACTGCGCGGAGGTCGCACGACGAGCGGCATCTCCACCCTCAGAGCAGACAGCCTCTGTCGTCTGGCCTGTGTGCTGACGGCCCCCTCGTGGTTGGGCCAGGCGCCTGCTGTGACAGCGAGGGATCGCGTGATCACAGCCCCTCCACAGAGCTGTCCAGCTCAGGACAGGAGGGCGTGATGCGGAGACCCAGCTCCTCTCTGGGCCAATGGCCAGGCCGAGGCCCTGAGGAGGAACGATTCGCCAGCTCGAGGCAGGAAGGCCAGGTGCTTGTCCCCAGGACAGGGCAGACCGCTGTGGGCTTTGAAGCAGGGCAGTGACACAACCAGATCTGTGCAGGAAAGAGAGTTCTGCTGGCAGTGTGCCTGGCAGGAAACCAGGTGGGCAGGGAGCTCTGGAGTGCCAGAGGCCACTGCTCCCCCAGACACCGGCCGCAGCCTACCCATGCACATGAACTCCACTCAGGGTCTCTGGGTGAGATGGGTGGGTGAGGACATATCCCTCTGTGCCAAGCGTGCTTTGTGAACTTGTTTTAGCTGGGGATGTGTGGGCATCGGTCATAACGTCGGTAACTTGATTCTATGGGTGGCAGTGTGAAAAGTTTGAGAAACACAGATATAGTCAAAGGGGGTCTGGACCTGTAGTTGCAGGAGGACTGGAGGGGATTGAGGACTTGGCAAATGGCTGGATGTGGGGAGGGAGGAAGGCTTTAGGTGTCAGTTCCGGCACGTGAAAACTGGGCTGCTGTCACAGGACCGGGGACCCAAGAGAAGAGGTGCCTTGGGGCAGGGTTGTGCCGGGGGCTGGGTTGGCGGGAGGCCAGTGGTTCACCCAGAGATGTGCGCCAGACAGGTTGTGGGGTTCAGAGAAGGTCCGGGCTTGGGTAGGCAGCCGAGGTGGACCCCGGGAAGACAGACGTACAGGAAGGAGCCGAGACGGGGCTGAGGGGTGCGGCGAGAAACAGGAGAGAGACCGGGAGGTTGTGGGCAGGCGCTCGCTACAGGATCCCAGCTCAGCACCCAGTTGTGTGAAGGAGCCACCTTTGAATTTGTGGGAAGAGGAAACTGTCTTGGGAGGAAAGGCGGCTTCTTACGTTTGTGTTTCGTAGTAAAACAGTGGCTGAGGGGACACATCTGCCCTGACACGTTACAGTCCAAGTGCCATATGATAGCAGGTTCCAGGTGGCAGTGCATCCCCCAAGGGCTGGATGGCCGGCCTGGCTGGACGAGAGAGGGAGGCAAGTCAGCACCCCTCGCCGCCCCCACCCACCCTTTGGCCCCGAGGTCCCACTGGGAGCAGCAGGAGAAAACGCTCTGCTGTTTGTCAAAATGTGAGGCAAACAGAAGAGGAGAAGGAACACTGGCAGCTCCCGGCCTGTGAATGCGACTGCTGGCGAGCTCCCGGCCTGAGGTGTGGACGGTCAGCCTCCTCTCCTGTGGCTGCTCTTCCTTGTTTCCAGGCTCCAGGAGCCATGTGCTTCTTGGTCAGAGTATTTTCCGGAAGATCAGAGTTAGTCGCTGTTTGCGGTCATGTGTCACCGTGTCGTGTGTCGTGCTCCGGCAGCTGTCCCCAGAGCCAGTGGCTCAGGAGCCGCGGGCAGCAAGCGCCTGGGCGAGCACTTAGGTGACGCCCGGCAGGATCCTCCTTCCCTGCAGCAGTAGGAGGAACTTCGAGAGGTCGACGGCTTGGGGGGCTGGCTGCGCGGCCCCACACTGACGTGTGTCCTCTCCCCACAGGCCTGCACGTGTTCCCCACCTTCGTGGCGTATGAGCTCACCGTGCTGATGGTGCTCACCCTGTCGGTGGTGATCATGAAGGTACCCCGCGCACTGGTCAGCTTCATGCTGGTTTGGTTTCACGAGTCACACGGCTCACGTAACCTCCTCTGGGTGTCACCCCTCCCCGTAGCCATGCTGAGTCTGCGAACCCCCGGACTGCCGCTGATGGGCGCAGTCTGTGAGCACTTGGCACAGCCACGGACAGGTTTGGGTTAGCGCCGGGCGGTTTGGGTTTGTTTTCCTTTCTTTGTCTCAGAGTTGAGTGCGTTTCAGGTGGAGAGTTAAAAAGCTGGGCCCGGAGAAGCAGCTCTCTGGCTCCTGCAGTGAGGTCCCTGCCCAGCATTCCTCCTGAGTCTAAGGCAGCGCAGACGCCCGCCCTTGTGAGGCCGCGGAGGGTCGTGCCGCTGTCTCTTCTCTGTGGCCACAAATCACTGGGTGGCCTGTGTTAACGTGTAATTCCAGGGGCGATTACCTGTTCAGTAGCTGTCTGGCTTTGTGGACCATAAGAACTGACTTATGATATTTCTTCCTGAAGGATGCAGAATCCTGGACGGGCATCGAGCCGGCCCCCAGCCCCAGGCTGCTCACCTCCGGATTTTGTTTACATGAGAGAGAGACATTTCTCTCTTATTAAAAATAAAATTTCTCTCTTGAATGCTACCTAATATTTAATGCTGTGAATTTAGTTTTAGGGAAAAAGCCTTGTTTTCTGCTAGTGACCCTGAGCCCTGGCTTCTGCCGTGGTGTCTGAGGTTTCATTTCAGACACTTTGTGTTCCTTTGGTGCCTCCTACGTCGGGCCCTCTGTGCACGTCCCCGGGTGTCACTCGAGGGCTGTCCCCGCAGTTCTCCTGCTGTTTTCTGGGGGATGGGCTGTCAGGCCCCGGTGAAGAGTCACCCCGCTCTCCCAGTTTGTTCTGGCAGCCCTGGTCTTGTCTCTGCTCCTGCCGAAGACCAGCCAGTACATCAAGTGGATCGTGGCTGCAGGGCTGGCCCAGGTCAGCGAGTTCTCCTTCGTCCTGGGGAGCAGAGCGCGCAGAGCGGGCATCATTTCTCGGGAGGTGAGTCCCCCACTTTCTGTGCGTGTCGCGGTCTGGCGGGCGCTCTGCTGCTGTCCCGTGGGTCATGCCTCACGCCGCTGTGCCAGCATCCCGCCCGCAGGCCGTGGCCAGGGGAGTGAGCAGCTGGTCCAGGCCCCGTCCACCCACAGCAGGTGCCGGGGTCAAGGCGTTTGTCTCGTGGACACAGAGACAGGGCCGCGCTTTCTCCTCACAGGACGTGGAGTTTTTAGGTGAAAGTCACTAGTTAATACTGCTCGAACTGTTACCATTCTCTTCTGCAACAATTGTAATTAAGTTGCTCTGATATTTCTTGTGAAAAGAAGAAAACTGATTTTTAAACCTCAACTGCCAGCTTTCACATCGCTAGTGGCTCAGAAACCTGGAGGTGCGCCTCTGCACAAACCCAGTATGCCCTTCCCTAGCCGTGGGCCAGGCCCTGAGCCCCCCGTCCTTCCGGGACCATATCTGTGGGGGACATCACTGCAACTTGGTTCTTAGTTCCAGTTAGAAACCATTTAAAAGGCACAAGAGAGGGGGCCAGCCCTGGTGTAAGTGCAGCGGCTCGCTCCGCTTTGGTGGCCTGGGCTTCGTGGGTTTGGATCCCAGGCACAGACCTGTGTGACTCGACCTGCATACAAAATAGAGGGAGATTGGCGATAGATGTTAGCTCAGGGCCAGTCTTTCTCACCAAAATAAATTAATAAATGAATGAATGAATAAAAGCACAAGAGAGAATGTTATCCTGTGAAAGTACCTGTTGGGTTTTTCCCCACAAAACACATTGCAGTATTTGCCTACTTGTAAGGTGAGTTAGCATTGTCAGAGGTGCTTCTGAAGACACTGTGTCTCCACATTTTAAGTAGTTGGAATTAAAACCTTAATACAAATGGCAAAGTTTCCTATATACAAAGTATGGGAAAGTTTTTGCTGCATGAAAATATATATGAAAGTTGGGGGCTTTTCTGATGCCTCTCCCCCACCACAGTATTAAACGCCAATTGTGTTCTCTCCGCTCCAGGCCCACTGGTTGTGTGTGCACAGCCCCAAACACAGCGTGCACACAGCCCTAAGCCCTCAGCGTGGTGCCTGAAAGGTCAACCTTCCCCTCCCCCCTCCCCCCCATCCTCATCCGCCTTCTTCCTCTTGATCTCTGGTCTGTTCCTTCTGGGTTGGGCTTTCTCTGTGCCTCTGTAGTGGGGGTGTGTGCCTGTGTAGAATTGTGTGTGTGTGCAGTTGTGCATGTGTAGTCGTGTGTGCAGTTGTGTGTATGCAGCTGTGTGTGCAGTTGTGCATGTGTAGTCATGTGTACAGTTGTGTGTGTGCAGCTGTGTGTGTGCAATTGTGCATGTGTAGTCGTGTGTGCGGTTCTGTGTGTGCAGCTGTGTGCAATTGTGCGTGTGCAGCTGTGTGCAGTTGTGTGTGCATGCGGCTGTGTGTGCAGTTGTGTGTATACAGCTGTGTGTGCAGTTGTGTGTGCATGCGGCTGTGTGTGCACAGTGGTGTGTGTGCAGTTGTGCATGTGCAGCTGTGTGTGCGTGGTTGTGCGTGTGCAGCTGTGTGTGCGTGGTTGTGCGTGCACGTGCGGTTGTGTGTGTGCAGCTGTGTGTGCAGTTGTGTGTGTGCGGTTGTGCATGTGCAGCTGTGTGTGCACAGTTGTGTCTGTGCAGTTGTGCGTGTGCAGCTGTGTGTGCACAGTTGTGTGTGTGCGGTTGTGTGAGTTCACGTCTGTGTCCACCTGCCGTTTTGCACTTAACTCAGCTTTCCTCTCTAGTTTTGTTCATTTCCCTTTTTTGCTTTATTCTTTGCCTTTTGTAAACTGGCTATGAGTTAGAATTTGGTGGCTATCCTTTGATGACCCACGGTTGTCACTTTAGATTTGGTAAGGAGGTTTTATGCTCCGCTGTGGGGTGTGGGTGGCTGTAAAGTGACAGAAAGGCTCCCCACCAGGGGTGACTATGCCACAGTCTGTGGCTCCCTGATGGAGTTCACGCTATTTGAAACCTGACTCTTCTTTCAGGGCTGGGGAACTGGATGATGCAGGGACAAGTTGATGCTGTGATAGGAAAGGCATTTATAACCAAAGGAGAGCACTACTGTTTCAGAAGAAGGAGGGTGGAGGTCTTCTGTTGTCATCAAGTGGATAGAGTTGTGGGTGATAGTGTAGAAATCTGAACTCCAGCTTATGAACTGTTGGTTCACTAGGAAGTCTCGTGTGTTGGGGCCGGAAAACTGTGCACTTTCTGTGTAGCCTCGCAGGCTGTGGAAATCAGCTCTTCCTGTGTTTCTCAACTTGGAAACAGTTAACTTTGGGGTGCTTTTAAGTTGTGGATGTGTAGACACACAAGTTCCTGAGTAGTAATTTCTATTTAGAATTATTTTTGACCTTCAGCCGTCTCCAACAATCTAAGTTTGTCCCTTGCCCTTTGGGATGTCTGCGGGAGCTCATTTGACTTTGTTGGGCCTGATCCTTGACACCAGGGCAGAGGTTTGCCTCTCACTCTCAGCCTGCTGCCCCTGCAGGGACCACAGTGGGGGGGCCTTCCGACTGCCCCCACCTGGCAGTGACCTTCCCTCAGTCACAATGTTGCACTAGAGCCATCTCTGCACATCTGCTGCCTACTGAATTTGGGCCAAATGGATATAAAAGTTCCTATTGGCACATGTGAAACGCTGGTAAACATTCAACATTAAGTGGTAGTCTCCTCGTGTCCCTAAGTGTGAGGAAGACAGGATGAGTCTTGATGTTAAAGAGCACCAGAAACGATGGTTAAAGAGTGAATTTGTGCACTGTCTCCATCTGAGACATGCCCGGAGGCTGCACCCTCACTGTAAGGGACCCTGAGCGTCAGTCCAAGGGCCTAGTGCACTCCAAGGGGAGACCCTCAGGCTGCACAGACTCCAGCGTGTGGACCCACGGTGCGTCCACCTGATGACAGTCTCCATCAACGGTCAAATCTCAGTCTCCTCACATCCAAGTGTCCGTGCACTTCTGGTTGGATGGGGGGGTGGTCTCTAAGAGAAAATAGCGCACTTGTGGTTCGCAGGTGCACCTCCTCGTCCTGAGAGTGAGCACCCCCAGCCTTACCTGCCGCAGGTGCACCTCCTCGTCCTGAGAGTGAGCACCCCCAGCCTT